TGGTTGGTTGGTTGGTTGGTTGGTTGGTTGGTTGGTTGGTTGGTTGGTTGGTTGGGGTTGTTTTTGCTGGGGATGCTAGTAAAGTTTTGATTTGTTTGTTTTTTCATTTGGTGTTTTATAGGACAGGGGTGGGGTCTTATTTTGATTTTTTAAATATTTTGTTTTTGGAAGGGGGGGGAGAATTGCTGTTGAAGTTGTCATTATTATCTCACATCTGCAAACGTACTCGTCATGACCTGTAAATGGCAAACATTAATTTCCTAAAGGGCTTACCTGAACTGCATACTATGGTGACTATATCCAGGCGAACGAGGACGTTGGAAAAAAGAAACCTACTCAAATAACAGACATCCACAAGAAGTTTCCTCCGAAGCAGCGAGTGCTTCGACGTACACTGGTTTGTTCTTGAATATTTCAAAGGAATAGTACTGTTCTTCTCCTCGCACAAAAGAAAAACTCACTTGGAACATTTATTGAAGAAAGCTCGGGGAAACGGTTGAAGGGGTTGGGTGTTCACGCGTCAGTGAAAAAATAAAGAAACAGTTCCCTCTTTTGGAGAGGAAGAACAAAAATAAAAAGTAGAATATTGATTTATTGGGGAAAAGACGGAAAAGCCGGAAGAAAAAAAAACAAAGAAAGTTTTGTTTTTCTTTTTTGTGTGCGTATGTGTGCGGTTCTACTATTACTTGTTGAGGAATTATGCAGCGGTCACCCTCTCTACCGTTCCCGCGCGCGCCGTGATCAGGCATTAGGTTCCCCGCGCGGACCCGGGATCTGCCGCGACTTCCCGCGCGCGCCACTGACATCCCAGGTCTTCCCTCAACACCGCGAGGAGGGTGCTGCTTTTCTCCCCTTTTCCCGCAATACATGTGTCTGTGATGGCTTCTGTTTGAGGTGAACGAAAACAGAAGAAGAAGAAAAAAAACCCTGCTAAATCTTATGGCTGCATGCACTTTTCAGACGCAGGTATTTCTCCCTCTAACGATCTCCCTCGCCGGATGAAAAGTTCAAAGATGGAAAAAGGGGGGGGGGGGTCATGATACAGTGAGGCGCACAAAAAGAAAGGGGGGAGTTTTAGTTACAATTTTACGGCACTTGCAACCCAGTTAAGTTATATAAGTGCTGAAGATCAGACGTGTTACTAAAGAGTTACAAAGTTACAAAGAAAATAAGGAAAGAGTCATGCTTTTTGTTTTTTCTGTATTAATCCTTGTTGTTGTTTTCAATTTTGTTGTCGCTTCGTACGCAGAAGACATGAGACCGATTCTCGAGTTGGGTTGTTTTGTATCGAGATCTCTGTCAGCCTGCTGGGACAGGCAGGGACGAAGCAGTTTACTTCATAGATTATCTAAAACTGGTGTCGGTGTGGGTGTAAAACAAAAACACCTTCTTTTACTTCGTGTATTTTTATAATTGTTATTTTTCTTTTAATTTTTGTTTTCCGGACGCCGGTGACTAGGAATAGCTTTGGACAAAGACACAGTCCAACCTGTCCAAGACAACCACCCATTGTCGAGGAGAAAAGTGGTCACGTTGGACAGGTCTGGGAAAGTGCCATTATGATAACAATATAGCAAAAAAGGGAGGTTGGGGTGGGGGGAGGTTTG